ATTTGGATACAATTAAAAAGTATGCTGTGGCAATTTCAAATGATTGGCAAAAAATATTTAACAAGTCGCTAAACTTAAAAAGGTCTTTTTGAGTTTTTTTTAATATAATACTACGATTATATTAACGTTAATGAGTAATTATTGGTGAAAACAATCATTTTTTGTATATACCACACTACATAATATTTTTATACTAACGGGTTATCAAGAATTAAAGGGCATTATTTGATTTTATTAAAGTTAAATAATAAAAAAATATTTTATCTATTATTAAAAAATCGTGCTAATCTAACTGTTGGCATAGACTGAAAATAACTCTAAATTCCACTTAATACTAACTATATAGTCTCACAAATAGACCTTCATTAAATAAAAAAAAATAAAAAGTAGAAGACTTTATTTACTTTAACAAGATATTTAAGGCCTATCAGATGTTATATACATAAAATTAATAGTGATTTAATTAAAATCAAAATAAATAATATCTCCTTAAATTATAAATACTTAATACCTCAATGTAAAATATAGAAAGATATGCTGTGTTTTTGTTCTTATAATTATGCAATTGAGTATTGTAAAAAATAATAATATAACTATGGCGTACCAAATATTTCAATGAGTACATATGTTGTAATTATTGTTGTAATTATAATCTTTCTCTATTCCTTTGGCATACCCTATTTCTGCAGATTTTTGATAATAAATGAATGCCTTATATTCGCCTTTTTCAACTCCAGTTCCATATTAATAACAATATCTGATATTATTTGCTACACTAGCATTCTCTAAATAATAAATGAATGTTATATGCTCATCTTTTTCAATTCCAATTCCATGTTGATAACAATATTCAACATTATCATTATTTGATCCACTAGCATCTCCCATCTTTGCAGATTTGATAATAAATGAACACCCTATATGTTTCATAAATTTTTAAATATTATAAAAAGACCAAGCTTGTCATTGATGTAATAATGATACAAACCCAATCTTAAATATGAAAAGCCTACTAATCGAGCATTTTTCAGAGTAGACCTGTAAAGCCCACATACTTTTGTTGCTAAACTACCCAAAGAATAGACCTATAATTAAAATTTTTTATATAAATACGCATTACATAATAACTTTTTTTTTAAATAAATACACATTATAATGGGTCGCTTAAAATCACGAAATAGGCAGCTTAAAACAATTCAAAGTTCGCGAAAATGTGAACAACAAAAAGTATTAAAGAATATTAAAGATAATCCTCAAATTATAAATTTAATTGATCATTTAATCCCAATATTCACTCAATTAAACGACAACGATTTCAATACTCTAATAAAAAAAATATTCGAATCTCGAGAAATGACCACCTGTGTTCAAAGAAAACGCAATGATATATTTGCATGTGTTTGCGATTTACCTTGATCAACAAATACTTGATGCTTTAGCTCTATTTCAAACAATGACTTATCCTCGAGGAAGTCATAAAGGAGAAATAATTTCTACCTATTTACAAAAAAAGGCTTGTGAGTTTATTAATACCAGTCTTTATATACCTAATTGTACTATAGATGCATTAGAATTAAAAAATAAAAATTTAAAACAAGAGAATAAGCGTTTAAAAAGATACAAATCTTCTTCCAATACTCGTATTCGCTCTCTTTCTGCGCAAGTAACAAGAGCAAAACAATCAAAACAAAGACAAATTTCAAAAATTCGAGCATCTATCCGTAAAGCTAAACGGATTCAACCAATTCAATTTCAACGTGAAGCCAATAAATTATTTAAAGCTAATAACAAAGAATATAATGCAAAATTTGTAAAATTAGCTACTAATATAGAACAAACTTCAATACGTATGACAGTAGAATGTACTAAAGCCATCTATCAGTTCTTAACCGGAGAAAAGCCACAACAATGGATAAAACCGTCTACTTTAGCATGATAGAATAATGAGGTAGCAGTCTTGTCTTTTAGCCAAAATCATCTCAATGAAGCTTCTTCTAGATTTTTTGGTTATGGCATCATGGCTGATGAAAGCACACGGGGTGAAACAAAAGTGTTAATTATTTGTTTATTATATTGGAACAATATTAAAGAAAAGCCTACAATTACTGTAGTAAAATTAACTGACCTAATGCATTGTAATGCTGAAACGATTTCAACTATAGTATATGAAGTATGTCAACAAAAAGGAATTAATCCTCAAAAATGTCATTTTTGGTTAACAGACAACACGGCTTATATATCTTCGAAGACTAACGGTGCAATTGCTAAATTTAACCTATTAGCAAAATCTAAATCATTTCGGATTTCCTGTGGATTGCATGCAACCCACATCGCCCTAATTAATTTTGAAAATTTAGCATTTGGAAAGTTAGATGGTACTAAAGGATTATTGTTAAAAGAGCACCCATACAATTTACTTAATCTTGCATTTCATCTTCATGACGGATATGATCTTTCGGATAAAGACAGTCTACTAAATCTAAAATCTGAAATATTATGAAAACTCTACAAATGCTGTTCGATTTCGAAATGACCCAATATCAACAGCCTATCCGTCAATGATGGTTATATGAACTTCAAACTGCCAAACAATATCTTGACAGGCATGAAGTTCATATCTGCTTTGCACAATTTTTTATTGAGCAACTCGAAAATGCAAAAAATATTCCAAAATCATACTTACATAAGTGGCAAATATTTCTTAAATAGCACTTTTATCGGACCATATTTAAGAGAAAATTTAAAAGATAAGTAAAATTCTAACGTTGTCACTATATAAAGATGACTTTAATTAAACATCTTGCTTTTATAGAATTAAAAAAATACTAGATATTACGGAAGAAATTAGAGGAGACACAAA